CACTTTGAAAATACTATTTGACATAGGAACTGCATCAACACTGAACTTATCCAGAACCGACGCATGCAATTTTCATTTGTCGTGGAAGACTAAAGTATGACATTCCGTGTCGGTCGCGTAACGGGACACGACCGGTCCCAGATGACCACTTGCTGACCTTAAAGATCACCTGTTTGGTACCTTCTCATTACAATTGGAACAGGCATTTTTCAATCAGGGTTATTTAATTAACTCTGTATTGTTCCTAGAATATGACGTAGTGAAATCGTTAACTGCAATAAACCGATGACGCCGACACAATGGTAGGAAGCGAAATTTTTTAAAAAGTAATAAATATCATACAGTAATTTTTATTACTGTATCTAAAAACATAGGTATTCTAAAAATGTATTCAAATGTCCCTTACCACAGTATTGGTAGTGCGCCAAGCTGTCTGGCCTACTAACTATATTTATATTCAGCGTTTAGCAAATAAAGCACTGAAATTCCGGCCTAATCGTGAAGTTAATAGCTAAACAGTCACTAGCCGTGATATATTTTATTTTACTCATATATGTTATTTGTAAAATATTAATAATGTGTGGATTTGGGTGAAATCGCTCTCATTAAAACAAATGTATTTAAACTATGCTTTACTATGGAGTATTTTACGATGAAAGCCGCGAAAAATTCTAAAATATTTTTTTGAAATAAATAATCAGTTGAAATAGTTATAAACTACTAGCAAACTCGGCGATGTTGCCACCAGATGCTTCGTTTTATGTAACATTTCGAATGGTGATCCGCTTTTCTGTTGAAATTATTTAATTTTGCTATAAACCTGAGGGCCGGAGACTTTATAACGAGTGATAAACCGTGGATATCGGTTCGTACGTTCTGGAGTTATAGCGTCAGGAAGGAAAACCCGACTTATTTATATATAGTATAAATTATTTATAGTGGTCAATGTCATCTATAGTCTACACATATGAGATGATGAAATAAAAAAAGTTATTAGCATAATCTCTGTATTAAAGTGGGATGCCATAAGCCATTTGAGAAGTCATTGTGCATTGTTGTGCAGTCTTTGACCTGTTTATGGCTTTTTCAGAACTGGCTTTTAGAACATACGGGGCACTTCTGACGAATGGGTTTTTTTTTAAATTGGTTATTCAATTCCTTTTAAACGCAACGGACAGACCGCTGTATTAAATGAATAAATTTCCGCGGCTTCGTCGAAATACATAGAGCAAGATAAATACTTCTATTCAAATGCATAAAAAACTTAATTTTATAAATAGAGTTTCTCTCGTGACCGTGAAAATGGTGAAATATTTAAAATAAAGTTAATATCCCAGTGCACAATTATTAACGTAGAGAGCTCATACATATTCATTTGTAACAAGTCAAAGCCTCCAAGGTTATATGTAGCATTACTTTTTGTGATAGTTAATACAAAAACGTACAAAGCACGAAGGAGGAGGAAGGCATTTAAATTTAAATGTATGCTTAAGCATAGGCATTAACATAATTGACTCTCTTATGTGTGTCGTAAAATTTTGTTGTTTAAACAATTACCATGGTATTAAAACTCATATTATTTCCTAATTATTAAAAAATTAAAAAATTATATAAATTTATGCTTTTATAAATCTAATATATTTTATTAAATGTCGCTGTCATATTATTATCACTATATATTATATTTAAGCGTTGTATAACCTGTGGCTAATTCCATTTTGCAGGACATAGGTCTTGGTTATAAAAATTAACTTATTGTTAGTATGCTTTGAAATGGCAACCAACGCCATCTAGTATTAAATTAATAACAATAACTTCCTTTCTGGCAGTTTACATTTTACATTAGCTGCCACCTAGTGTGTGGTTAATGAACAGCAATACTAATGCAACGATTTACTAGTTTAATGTTTTGTTAAAAGATGGCAGTATAATCATTGTTTTTTAAACTAATGTTTTAAAAAAATAATAGTTACCAGGGATACAGTATTTTTTATTCTATTAACTATTTGATTAAATGGAACATCGCTTTAAAATAAGAAAAATGAAAACTAGTTCAGGTAACTTAAAATAATATGGTATTTAGAATAATTACTTTTTATGACGATATATGACGAGCTGTTAAGTAAGATACGTAAGGTAGTGTGAAAATAAATTTTTTATTTGTAAGTAAACTACCCATACTTTGATCTACAATCTCCATTGTAATGACGAATAGGATGCGGAAGTAATAAGTAATTTGAATACACCGTCTATTTTTAACTTCTCTTTGATTCGCTTACCGGATACTTTAAGACCGTTTGTCTGTCTGCGTCTTTAAAGAATATTTCATTGTGAGTGTATCGAGATATATTTCTTGCTATGAAATGTACGTTTAATAAATTTGTTTTTGATTCCAAGCAGACAAAGTCGCAGGCAGACGTAGTCCCGTAAAAATCACCATATTCTAGACAATTTACATACATATTAATGTGCCACAGCTCGCCTGCCGTCATGGTCCATTTCATAAGTCGAATGATTTATAACAAACAAATGTTTTGTTCATTTCAATTATTCATTATGTGACCTGAATAGTAATGTGGGCTCAATCGGTTTTGCAACTACTTTCTTAGCTACCACATCCGCTGTGACGTCTTTTTTGTTCCTTATGAGTTTTCTTTATAGTCAGATTGGATTTTTTTTACTGAAACCAATTTCAGATGGTTAGTTGTTAAATAAAGTTGGAATTTTTGTAAGACATACTAAAACACTCGTCGTCAAATGTATTCGTAAATATTGTGTCTCTATTATGCTAAAATAAAGACGTAGTATCTGTTTTGTAAATAATTGTTAGTGTAACTTTTTATTAGTTTGTACAAAAGAACCGAACTGATTCTCATCTTACACAAGTAGCGCGCTACATACTGATGATACACTGATAACACAACATTACAAAGTTATGTACAAAGACTATTCGCAGACAATTTTATCCTGATTTTACGTAGTTTTAGAGACTTTGCGCAAAGTATTACTCCCGTCTAATTGGATTTGACATGGACCTTGTTTATGTGCACGTGATCACGTAGATTATTTCAGAAATATATAAATATCGAATACAGTATAAATCGAAACGAATGGAACAGTGCATATTAATTTATGGGAATTTAGAAATGCGGGCTCACAGATGTGTTTTATCAATTTTAATTTTAGTTGATTAGGGGGAATAATCTTAGTATGGCTTGTACTTTTTGCCGAATGTCCATGCCATCTATACTTATAAGTCAATAGTTATTTTTTTATCGAAATGTCTATTAACATAGTTTAAATGTCTATAGTGAATATTTACCTAATTTTGAGTTGACAAGAGTTTCTGTGTAGAATCAAAGCAGCTTTGAGCTTAATCTTGGTTGTCAGAACCCGGAATGGATTGAGCCCCATAACGGTGCAGCATTTCTGCATGTCTAGAAAGTTAAAAATTACTGTGATGATACCAATTTAGACAATTGACAGACAGGCCGCTTTAATTGTCAATTGCACCCAATGGACTCCAATTTATTAGGAAACGCTTTCGGAGTGGTTTTTTTAGAATGGTAATGATACTTTTATACATTGGTATAGTCTGTATTCATAAATGGAGTAAATCACAATTTGTCTACAATATCTTTAAAATCTTAATATTCGAAATAGATTTATTATTTTTAAATAAAATGTTCTATGAAAACCTTTGTGTGTTCAATTGTTTCCGCCTTCCGCGTGTCACTTACTTTACTGAAGTAAGTTTTTTAAATATTATTGTTATTGTTTATGGAATAAGTTCGCGACGCGACTATAGTTTAGTGAGTTAATATAATAACATAGAGTTCGTTCGTATGCTCTAGTGAGTTCGAATGTTAAGAAAATTTAATTCTAGAACGCAATGAATGTTATATTTTGGAGATGAAAATGTATTGTGAAATTAATATTGCATACCAAGAAGAATAAACGGTGCGTCATCAATTTAATTTATTATTCGTATACATATTAGTCATCGTTCAAACGTATTTTGTAAATATAATAATTACTTTTCCGATTCAAAATTATTAAGTAGAATAAGTTTTAAAGTATTTTTTTTCGCTTTAAACAATCGCCACACTAGAGTAACATTTATATTTAAAAGCTAAAAAATACGTTATATATATCATAAGCTATAGTTACGTGAATCTAAAGTTGAGTAGGTATAATTGAAGTCGTAGGTAAAGTTAATATTTTATAAAACGTTATCGTTAAATTCACTTACTGTATGTAGTTATTATATATAATTTGTCGCTTACAAAGAAAACCACAACGTGAGCAAGTAGGCATTAATAACATATACGCTGAGAGTATTTTCCTCATTTAATAATAATGTATAATTTTACATAGTAGTAAAAAGGTAACCATACAAGTTGACCGTAGTCAAAGTAGTTTTATAAACGGGAAAATATTTTTAATTGAAATCATTATCTCTCGGCCGTTATATTGTGTATATAGAACACTAATTGATTTTTTATCTAATCTACACTGCATTTGCTTTTAGTATTTAGCAATTACGCCATGCTTCTTACAGAAATAAAATAGAATATCGGTCACAGACTCCGTGAGGAATGAACGCATAGCATTAATTGATGCTCTGTACATCACTATCGCGCTGGACGTGCCGCGCGCGGACGCTTCCGTTTAATTTTAAATAAGGAAAAGCGCGAACGAGACGACAATTTTTTCCTTAAGTTGTATTCGTTCATGTTAGCACAGATTAGTAGCGAATATTATCTCTCCTTATCACAGAGGTCAACAATGCCTCCGCGCGCGAGATTTTGTAACGTTTATGTTAGGAAGAAAATATCATGATAAGAAATCGCGGCCGGGTGCAAATGTCGTCGATATCGCTAAACTAAATGTTCAATTTGAATACGGTTACGCTGCGGAGACGTATCGAGGCTTGTCCCTTCGCGGAATCCCAATCGCTGATTCATACACCGGTTATCGTGTTGTAAATGAGTGGCAGAATGGTTGAGGTCACAAGTTGGATTCCGCACGCCGTAGTAGAAACATTGCGCGATCGTTCCGCGCAACCAGTCATCGCTTGGCTTACAAATATCCGTGGTTCAATTGAAGAATACGATCCGATGGTGTCTGTGCGCGCTCCTTCAGCCGTGTCTCAAGAATCCGAGTCGGACGAAGCCTTTAACGAAATACTTTCCCAGTTGGGCAAAGAAATTTACAAGCTTGATGAATACCAAAGAAACCTCGTGCCTACACAGCCACAGATATCTCTCAGTATTTTAAATATTTTTGACCAATGCCTTGAAGACATAAGTTTACCTGACAAGGACACCACAATAACTGAATCAAAACAAAACGTAAACAGTGATACGGACGTCGCGTTCGTGACAAGTACGCCTTGCAAAAGTGTGGTCGTGATGGAAGATAGTGTTTCAGAGACAGTGCCACCTATTCCTCCGCGAAAAGTGAAAGCTCCTTCGCCTACAATCTACGATGATATAGACATAACCGAAAGTCAATCCCAAGTCGATTCAGATAGTGATTCCGAGAGCACTATATGGAGTTACAAGGAATGTAACCCAGAGGAAGTAAACAAGGAAACATATGCAGCTGTTTGGTCGCATTCGACGGGATATCACAATTCGGACGAGATTCTTCGCAGAGTTTTGTCTCAGGCGGAGCAGCGCGCGACAATATCTCGATTGTCATTCGATACCGCTAGTGACTTTTCACCGCCACCGTATACCGTGTACGCATTGCACGAGGTAGGAGACAGGTGCGATTCAGTCGCTGCGATGACGCCGGACAAGACGTGCGAAGACGGCTACGAGCCGGTACGCGATGCCCTCACAGACGAAAACATTTACGAAGAAATTGAATATGGGTACAGTTACACAGACGAAGGGTGCTCGTGTGGAGGCAGTGTTGAAGTTGACAGTTTGATAAGTGCAAGTTCGGAAGGTGTAGGTCGTGACAGTCCCTTATACGCGAATTTAAGGGATAACGATGCGTACGCGATACCACCGGACGTTATTTTTTGGAAGAATTCGCTTCTTGATCCGTTTTGCAACGAGGATGAAGAAGATGAGGTGAGTTATCACATCATTCGTGAGATCATTGTGTGATCGTATGTTATTCTTAGAAGGAAGTATAATAAATAAGGCATTTATTGTGCATGTGCACATCGTCCAAATATACAGATTAAGACTTAAACGATTTCTGTATACAGTTGGCGCCGGTTTTATCTCAAACTTTATGAAACCTAATGAAAAATACCGCATATCTTATCGAGTTAATTTGCAGAGTTATATTATTACTCAGTGACTACTTGTATTTGATAAGAGACCTCTTCAAGTACAATACTTTGTCGATGTTTTTAAAATAATTATTAATGGCGATTATTCATTAATTAATTGTGCATTAAAATAATTAGATAATTAAATAGTCGTTAGCATAAATTCAACATTGCAAGATAATCTAAAAGTTCAAAAATGACTGTTCAAAAATGTACTGTATGTATAAGTAACATATACTGTAATGTGTATCTAAAATCTAAGTTATACCCAGTAGTAGAACCTAATTGCGAAATGAAGACTGCGCAATTATGTTTGCATTTAAAAGATTAAGATATTTATAGCCCTTCCATTAACAATACAAATAGTTACCATTGTAGTAAAGGCATAAGGCATAAAATATTTCTTAACGTTCTATTTGATATAACAATCCTGTTAAATCCGTTAACAAGGATACCGGAATCCTTATCTTAACTAAATAATACAACTACTTAGAACTCTATTCAGCGCACTTCTATTGTCTTTATTCGTAAAATTGTACGAAATTTAATCTGTTTTATTACCTTGGTTTTACCTTATTAAAGGTTTTACGAACTACTTTATCTTTAAGACCTTTACTCTTACTGTTTCTTTATACTTTACTCAGGACGCGGATCCAACAAGCATATATAACAACATAACGTTTCATCCAACCCTCTAATATTTCATAATAAACATTATTCTTACAAGTTCATTTTGTTTCAGCGGTGTTTGATGGTCTTTATGGGTCAAAAAGTTACTAACAAAATATTGTTTACACGATCCAAATATTATGAGTCAATAAAAAACAAATTATTAAGAGCAACTTGTGCGTCATCAACATTAAAACTTAAACTTTATTTAATAATTTCAATTGTAGATTAAGCACGCGGGTCTAGAAAATATGGCTTACCAGATGGTGGCTGTGATTTCATCTTAGCTATCTATAAGTATAGAATATATAAAAGATTATCTTAAACCAAACATGGAAATCGTTGAGTGGGCAACAATTTTTTCCATTCTTACTGATTTTTTAGGCATAGAGTTGCCTCTAAACGCTATTCGTTTATCTAATAAAAATACATAGTAGTAATATTAACTTTGTGTTGTGTGAAAATTAGTAATCTTAGTATCAAAGTAGTTGCTATAAAGTTGACATAAGCGTCCGGTTCAATCATCATGCAGACCGATTGGCGTACCAATTTAATATTCTAATGAAATACGATCACCATACTAGTAACGAGGTTATAAGGCACAATTATAATAACAATATAGTATGAATAGTATTGAGACATGCCGACAATGTGGTTTATGCAAGCAAAAATATCTATATAAATTGAAATACAATTGTCTTGAGACGCTCAAAATTATTGGCCGCTTTTGTTTGTTATATTGCTAAATGAAGTAGTTGTTATATTTTAGCGGAACGTACTATGTACATACCCAGAAGTAAATAATCAAAGGATTTTAATTTAAACTAAATTGTAACAGATAATTTATATTAGGTAAGAAAAAAAACAAAAATTATACGCTTGAAATTGTTCATCTGTAATACAAATGACATCATATTCTTTGATGTACCGGACTTTTTCTTATTAATTGAATTTATCATAACAATAGGGCATCGTTAACATTTCCGAGATTATGTAAACAGCAAAAGTTCCGATAACAGACTATTGTTTTACCTGTGAGGTAATGTGACCCTCTTTTAAGAGATGGCAATAGTCTACAGTTCTCCAATGAGAAGCGAGATAGCGATAATAGAAAGTTTGAATGAAGTTAAGACCATTGAGTTCGCGGAATCATTTTACAAATTACCTTGAGTTGTAGGTTTTTGTTGTGATTAGGTTTAAACGTGGTTTTTACAAATATAAATTTGTTAGTTTTGACAATTTTATAAATTACTTCTTTTATGAATACTTCGATTTGACTTTCATTAATCATGCCTTTTGTATTCTTTGTCCTAATTTAAGCGGATAATACAAAACACCGGATTTTTTTTCCAGATTATGAAATACCGTTTTTTACAACACATACACAATACTGAAATGTCAGATTGAGTTTTTTTTTAGTTCAAACCAATTAGTTTCTGGTTCATTAGGCACACATAACATCTGCCAAATTGGTACATTCGTGTAAAAATTTCTTTCAATGCTAATTATTATTGCGAACGTGTTATTCACGTTATAGGTACTCCAATTAAAACTTTATGAACTTTTCCATTTAATATCTAACGTAGGTATTTGTCATTTGTCACTCGTGCTGTTTTACATGTTGGCTGTCAATTTATTAAGTTTTTGTATTAAACAATTTGTGATTTAATTTATTTAGAGTTCATATTTTAAGATAGATAAAACACTTAGTAACCTTTTGACTTACTACTATAGTTATGTTTATTACATTTTAGTGTCTCACTTTCGTAATATTATTTTTTACTACTATTATTCTAGGTAAGGTAGGTAGGCTAGCTAAGATACTAAAAAACTGTGACGAATGACTTCCGACTAATGTATAAATTAGGAAAAACTTCGAAACGCTTCCTCTTTACCAAAGATTAAATAAAAACAATAAAACAAAGGATAATTAAAAGCCATTATCAAGCTATGCCTAAAATAATTACTTAAATCTTGATGATTTCGAGGTTAACTACCGAAAACTTCAATGTTTCATCTGGCAGTACCACAGATAATAAAAAGATGAATAGTTTTTGGGTCAATTACTCTGTTTCCGATTTTAAATCATTTTTATCGTTGCGATGAAATATGGAAATGAATTATTGTTTTTTAAATTGAATTTTTAGAGATATTAATTGGTTTTGGTAATTGTTTAAATAGGTATAAATTCGTATATTTCAGCTAAAAACCCGGAAGTAAAACCAACATGAACGATCCGTGATTTGACTAAGTATAGTCTGTGAAAATATAAGAAATATTATTTTCACATAGATCATATAGCTAAATAGACAGTTCCAGCCCTTTGACTTTCCCTTGAAGAACATAATAAAAAATAGAATTTCAAACTATCCTCTAAGAATCGTTTAATGATAAAAGTAAGATATCGTGCTAAAGCATGGCCTAACCGATTAAGTACAATTATTTACAACAAAAAACAACTGTTGGTTACGTATAAATAAAACATTGATTAGGTGATCGACGACCATTTAAAGCAATTTGTAATGTTGATTAGAAATGGCAGTTAATGTTTGTTAATAATGGATCCGTACAGTTCCTAGACTTTTTTACAGTCACCGTTTAAGACAGGTATTTTTTATTCGGTTAAATGCGACATCGTAAAGATATCATTTTTAATTCTTAATTTATAACAAAGTTTACTTTTCAAAAGTCATTTTTGCACTTTGAAGTGGCTAATAAAACACGTATTAAAGCTAACACTTAATAATTATAATCAAATCTTAATAAAATATTTCATCTGGCAGTAACACAGATGATGAAAAGTTGAATAGTATTTAAAATAACTGACTAGTCTATGGTACATTCACGCATAATTTAATCTGTGTATGGGTTTATTGCAAAATCGTTAAATATTATGGCATGTGCAACAAAAAATAACAAGTAAGTTGACAGAGATGGTGTTTAAAAGCTTTATTGTTTTACCAATTTCTTCAGGTATTACTTTATTTTCTTGGAGTCGAATATTCTATTTTTTTGAAGTTATACTTCTTTAGGCGCGTTATGAAAAATTGATGACAGTGAAATTTTACGATGCGCGCGCACCGTGACACAAAATTATCAGAATGACCATAATGACCTTTGTAGTACCTTTTAAACAAATAAAGGTGTTTTAATTATTTTTTCAAAAGATATTATTTAGCAATGCTTTTTAACAAAGACCTATTGTTACTTGGTTAAAAGGTTATGAAACATACGTAGTTATTAAATTGAATGAATAATATAATAAAATAATAAATAATAATAATAATTATTATTATTAATTAATAATTGAATAATATACAAAATATAATTATTAATAATAAAAATATTTATTATTTAATATTTAAAAAAAATAAAGACAGCCAAAGAAGTATAACTTCTTACGCGCGTACATAAGTACACGCACTCTTTTTTTTTTACTTGCATTTTATATATAATAGTAATATAAATTTAGCATAGAAATTCGCGTTGATTCATTAAAAATATATTTAAATATAAGATTTATGTGAACTGTGTTCGCATGTAACTGCAGATCAAAAAGAGAAACTTTAAATTTAAAAAAAAACACACAGGAAAGACTTTGTAACCATGGTAACACACGGTGCTATTTTCTGTCTTAGCTAATTAGATTTCTTCAAGAAAGAACGTACCAATTCTTAAAAGGGCGACAATCATCACTTAACATCGGATGAGCCTGCCCGTTTGCCCCTTTTTTTATAAACAAGTTACAATTTGCAATGCTCTAATACATATATATACTGATCTCTAATAAATCGTATGATGTAATTCAGTAGATACACAAAATAACCATTTAAGTAAAAGTTAATAATTTCATGAAAAAAACTGAAGTAAGTTTACGCTTGATTAAACTCATCAATTAAATTAGTTTTTGTCCGCCTGAAACTTGTTCGTTTACTGTCATGTTTTATGTTTGCTTTTACATCGAATTACATTTTTAAAGGCTAGACAAAAAAATATTTTATCGAAATATAATTGTGTGTACGTAATTTATGTAAGTTTATGTCCTATGCTATGATGATAATTAACGTTTTGGGTATAAGATAAAGCATCGGTAAAACTATAAAAAACTATTTATTTAATAGTTATAGAGACTTTGGAACAGAGTTAAGAAACAAGTATTAG